AAGTCACGGCAGCCCAGCTCCAGGTTGAGCTGTTGTTCAGCATCTTAGCTGTAGAGGGCAGTGTCACTGGCCCTCATATGTAGGATCCGAACCGGGGCCCTCTGGCGTCCCAAGCCAGTTCTTAACCAACATGCCACTCGGCCGGCCCCCTCCTCTGAACTTCTAAGCGTTAATAGTTCCAACTTTTCCTCTTTGTTCCATTTTTCTTTCCAGGTCTTCAAAACCCGGTTAACAATTATTACATTAATTTTTCTCTTTCAGAATACCTGGCCTGGTCTCTGCCTTCTAATTGGGCCCTGACTGATAATATAGGCATGGATTAAAATGCATGCACATAAAGCTGTTGTGGCCATTAAATGATAGTATTGAAAAATGTTTCCTAAATTATAAAGGGCAGCATCGTTGTTCGTTTTTATCTTCTTGAATAAGAAATAGTCATTGCACATGACCCCCGATAATAGAACTACAATCCTTTCGTGAATGCCACTAGGAGGCAGCTAGCCCAAGGTGTGTGTGTGGAACTTAACCCAGGCGAGACGCTCTGTATTCAAGGAGCCAAGAAATGAACACTGACAGATGACCCTGACTGAGAGACAGAGGAATAACTGTGCCTGTGCTTCCTGCACTCACTTTCCTCTTTCCAGTGAGTGTCTTTGGATTCCAACATGCCTCGTGGCTAAGCTCGCCCAGGGTGCACCATGAGAACAGTGTTAGAATTGTAGTTAGGCAGAAGAGAACCATTCTAATCTTTCTGTGTCTGCTTTTTCCTCTTACTAGAGGAACAAGGGAGGAATTATATAATCAGAGAGGCCAAAGCAGAAGAAATGATCTGATACAGTCCCTGTTTTGAGAAAAGGTATCTGATAGTTCCGAATTTATAGATAGATGCGGCGACTGAAGTTTGGCACGGCTCTGTGGGTCACCTCGGGTTAGAGAGACGGCAGATGTGAAGGAGAAAAGCCCTTTTAAACCTGTCATAGTGCCATGCTGCTAGAATTACGGGCTTGTTTTGGGGAAGCATTTTTAATGATTCTGTAAGGCTTTCAAACTTTCATTTCAAGGCAGGGTCTCAGTGCTTCTCATCGTGTTTCTGTTATGATGAATATGTCTTATTTCTGGGTGTTGCTAAAGTGCCCAGAGGGGTTTCAGATTCAGGAAAAACAGCCTGGCTACCACTGGCACTAGCCCTGAGCCATGCGGCTAGGCTGCAGAGAGTAAAAGGCAACTGCCACCTTCCGGGGTCTGGTGGGTGTTCTGAGGTGGGGCAACCCCAACAGTGTGGCTGCCTTTTGAGGGAAGGCTGGGAGAATATGGTGCCTGAAGGAATGAATAGGTGAGATACAGTGCAGACATTTCAAAACAACAGAAATGCCAAACCACTACACTTCAGCACGGTTTCAATGTCGAAGTTAATTCACACTCAATACCTTCAACCCGTCCTTCGGGCAGTCTCCATCTCTGAATTATACCTAATTTTTCATCTTTTCTCCATTTTGAGTAACCAAAGGATGACCACGATCTAAAAAGTGATCACTACTCACCTCAGTGTGTCTGTTCCAAACAATTCCAACCCTCTAGCTATTGCTTGCTGTTTTCACAGTGTCATAAAAATACACCCACTGGGATCAACCAGATAGGGTTTGTTTGTTTGTTTGTTTGTTTTGTTTGTTTTTTTCCCCCATTGCAATCCGAAAGCTTAAATAATAGATTACTGTCAGTATCAACAACATTCAAAGTTTCAGACAGTGAAGTGTTTGGACAGACAGGTGGAGATTATGGGAAAGCGTGAGCTGGTAACACGTGGAGTCAGATGGGACATTGGTGGGAGGGTGGCTCTCATGCAGTCCTAGCCTCCAGCCACAGGCAGGGCTTGGGTTGGCCAGAGCGAAATTCCAATGTTAGAATGGAGTTAAAGACTTAGAAATACGTGGTGACAAGGCAGAGGCCAGGCACTCTATCTGGGACAAGAGTTACTCCAGTGTTAGGAGTGACTTCAAATGCTCTGTCTCAGAGCTGTGTGCTTTCAAAATCCCTCATGCTGTTCACCTGGGCTTATCTTAGACTCTAGCGCCAGGCTATGTCTTGATATGGAAATCAAGTAGTTCCACCTCTGGAGAGAAGAAATATGCAGACACAGGAAACCCTGAAATGAACAGACATGCTCAAACGTGGGTCAAGGGTAAGGTTAAATGGGGAAGTAGTTATTATTCATCAAGAAAAGGTCCAATAAACTCAGTCAATTGTGTGGCATACTCATGCAAACATAGGTATAGACACATGCATATAGGGCATATGCATACATAAATGCACACAATCACTTGCATATACACACATGCCCATATACTCATAGCCCTGCGTATCCACATATGTACATAGACTCATACATTTATATATCTGCATACACATGTATGCATGCACACACATACTCATATGCAGTAATGTCAGAGATGGTTTTACAAATCAAATAGTATGTGGCCAATCCCCGTAGTTTACACACATTCTCAGATGCATTTCCTCATTGACACAGACCACTAGGATTAAGCCCCCTCAGTGTTGCCGTTGCTGATCCCTCTTTCGTCGGGTTATGGGGCACTGGGATGAGGCCACCTGACCTCACCGGCGCCAGGGGGAATTTCTGTTACAAGGTTTCAGTGGGCAGAGTAACTTCTGGGTGACAGAGAACATATGATCATGCCAGAAAAACCAAAATGCGGTTGGGTCCAAAGAATTTTGTATTATGTGGAAATAGAGGTCCCAAGAGAGAAAAACAAAGGATAGGAGAAGAAGACTAGGTAAAAGAGGCAGAATGGAGACAGAGTACCCATCCCGTGCTCTGTCGGAACCGTGACCCTGCTGGCCACCTGCTACCCTAACTTATCAGCTGCCAGTCACAAAACTCACATGCATGTTGACTTGAGTTAAAGGCCCAGGGTTTGGGACATACAGTATTTCTCATCATTTATCCTAATTTGGAATGAGGTTTGGTAATCTCATGTTCATACTGGAATCAGTTTTATGAGTCAAAAGTGACACACACAATTACAACTACCTCTAATTGCAAGCCAATTTCTAGAACTTAAGGCTTAAACAAGTTTGCTTTGAATAAAAAGTGGGAAACTGCCTCGTTTTTAAGTCAAGTTAAATTATAGCAAGGTGCTCTCTTCAAGCTGTAGAGAGGTGAAGATACATTACTCTTAGAAACAGCTACAGCTCATTAACTATTGAAACTTATATTACTGGTACAATGCATACCATACCTCATCAGACTGAAATCAATACTCTTCTTTGGAACTAGGTCGGTAAATCATTTATCGGGAGAAATGAGTCATTTTGAAGAGAAAGAAGTCCCCTCTCAGCTAACACCCACACTTCATTAGCTCGATGCGATAATGAAATCACAGACAGAGTGGTGCAGGCAGTAGGAGGGTGGTTCCCCCAACTTCTCAACTTTTAACAAACAAGGAAACTCAATTCTAGAAAATTCAGGTAATCTACCTAAGGCAGCACATAAGGCTGGCAGACTGTCTCAGACTAGCGTCAAATTAT